CGATCTGGGCGGGGTTGTTGTAGCCGCTACAACAACAACAACAACATACTCAAGTGCGGCTTAAATTTTTGCTACGTTTGTCGTGAATACTGCAATTATTAATTTTTGCTTCCGTAAAATTTAAATAAATTGTTGTCATTTTTTGTTTGTGTCTGTTCTGCTACGTCGCCTACTGCTGCCTCGTCGCTGAAACGTCGGTCCAGCAAAGGTTCTCCACCGAATAAAACTGTTAAGCTTGACGAAAGTATTACTCTTATGGCTGTTTGTCACAAAATTAAAGAGCTAGAGAAGAGAGTTCATCAGCAGACAGAACAGTTGTGCCCGCTTATCGAGAGTGTCTCAACCAAACTAACTGAGGTTGAAAGCAAGCTGTCGAAACGTATTGATGAGGAGATATTGTTGCTAACAACCACACTAAAGGAGACATCTACACGCATTGATGTGTTACCGCAGAACTCCACAGGCAAACACCGATGGCCTACCAACTGTCATTTTGACGACCAATATTATTGCAAATTTTTGTGCGTGGGCACTTTGATGTCTTGAAATAAGCATTTGCCGCATGACGCCACCAGACAACATTCTCTCAATTTCGGTGTGTAAAAACATTTAAATTTTAAAAAAACTTGCTGCATGATTTCCTAAAACGTAATCATAAATAATCCAATAGGGAACAGATTTTTATTTTGATTTAATATCAAAATTTCATCGATGTTACAACCAGCACGCTTTCTTTCAAATGAAAATATGGCTGTCAAACTATCGAATTGCCTGCAATAGATGTCAAGCAATAAGCGCTGACATATATTGCAGCCCATGAGAAATAGGCGGTCTCCATTGGAAATATATTTTGTGACATGGTTATCACAACATCACTGTTTTCCTGTGGAGACAGGGCCTTAGAGGAGCGTGTGCAGAAAGCTGTGGCTGAAATTGCGTGCATATCTGCGTTAGGTTGCAAACAGAGTGGAAGCGAAGCCGAAGATGAAGACGAAGCCAAAGACGAATTGCTTGCTTTGCGGGCAAGCTGGCGAGTGTACATAGTGGAAGACGATTGCGATGCAATGACAACTAAAATGGATTCGTTTTCAGATGAGGAATTTTTTCTAAATGAAAACCTTTTTCTAAAGATAAAATTAAATGAAAATAAAGAAAAAAACAGGAATTCACGAAATAAATTTGTCCAGAAAAACGTTTGGAGAATTTCACCATTTGTATGATGAGTTACGGCAAGACGGACGGAGATTTTTTGATTATACGAGAATGTCAATTAATACTTTTGACTACATTTTATCAAAAATTGAGCCATTTCTTGAAAAACAATGGACCAATTTCAATACTACCCCCATCATGGCCACTGAAAGATTGCTTGTGACTTTAAGGTAGTACCATCATGCCAACTCCTGCTACGCCACCCGTGGAGTTTTTGAGCCGAACTCACTCCGAAATAAAAAAGTGCATATTTCAAACCGTATTTTTTAATCAATTTTAATCCAAAAAGTTTATTTTAATTAATTAAATGTCATTGATACATTGTTCTTGAAAAAAAGGAATATCTTCTGAAATATATTGTACATNAAATTGCGTCGATTCCGATTCCAGAATGGCTGGCGACTGGACGTATGAGTTTGCGTATTGCGACGAGGAGCACCCGTTTTTATAGGCAAAGTTGTAAACAGATATTTGTATTTCCATTCTGCAGAGAAGTTTTTGTCCTGGATCCATTTTTTTAATGTGTGGCAACAAACTCACAAAGAAAGCCATATCCTCATCATCAGTTTGTATCTTCTGTTTTGATTTCTGTTCCAATAGATCAAGTTTTCTTTTTTCGATTTTAATTATTTCAGCATTCACTTCATCATTTCGCTTAAGTTTTTTACATGCGCTTTGTGAGGTGTTGCGTGTCTCTACTTCAAAAGTACTCATGCTGTTTTCGACGCTATAATTTTC